AGATCTTCTCCAAGTCATTGAGGTTTCGAGGCTGACGTTTGGCAACTCAAACCTTCAGCTCCCTCCCTCAGATTTTCTATGGGATTAAGGTCTGGAGACTGGCTAGGCCACTCCAGGACCTTAATGTGCTTCTTCTTGAGCCACTCCTTTGTTGTCTTGGCCATGTGTTTTGGGTAATTGTCATGCCGGAATACCCATCCACAACCCATTTTCAATGCCTTAACTGAGGGAAGGAGGTTCTCACCCAAGATTTGACGGTACATGGCCCCGTCCATCGTCCCTTTGATGCGGTGAAGGTGTCCTGTCCCCTTAGCAGAAAAACACCCCTTAGCATAATGTTTCCACCTCCATGTTTGACGGTGGGGATGGTGTTCTTGGGGTCATAGGCAGCATTCCTCCTCCTCCAAACACGGCGAGTTGAGTTGATGCCAAAGAGCTCCATTTTGGTCTCATCTGACCACAACACTTTCCCCCAGTTCTCCTCTGAATCATTCAGATGTTCATTGGCAAACGTCAGACGGGCATGTATATGTGCTTTCTTGAGCAGGGGGACCTTGCGGGCGCTGCAGGATTTCAGTCCTTCACAGCGTAGTGTGTTACCAATTGTTTTCTTGGTGACTATGGTCCCAGCTGCCTTGAGATCATTGACAAGATCCTCCCGTGTAGTTCTGGGCTGATTCCTCACCGTTCTCATGATCATTGCAACTCCACGAGGTGAGATCTTGCATGGAGCCGCAGGCCGAGGGAGATTGGCAGTTATTTTGTGTTTCTTCCATTTGCGAATAATCGCACCAGCTGTTGTCACCTTCTCACCAAGCTGCTTGGCGATGGTCTTGTAGGCCATTCCAGCCTTGTGTAGGTCTATATTCTTGTCCCTGACATCCTTGGATAGCTCTTTGGTCTTGGCCATGGTGGAGAGTTTGGAATCTGATTGATTGATTGCTTCTGTGGACAGGTGTCTTTTATACAGGTAACAAGCTGAGATTAGGAGCACTCCCTTTAAGAGTGTGCTCCTAATCTCAGCTCGTTACCTGCATAAAAGACACCTGGGAGCCAGAAATCTTTCTGATTGAGACGGGGTCAAATACTTATTTCCCTCATTAAAATGCAAATCAATTTATAAAAAATTTCTACATGCGTTTTTCTGGATTATTTTGTTGTTATTCTGTCTCTCACTGTTCAAATAAACCTACCATTAAAATTATAGACTGATCATTTCTTTGTCAGTGGGCAAACGTACAAAATCAGCAAGGGATCAAATACTTTTTTCCCTCACTGTACCTCTGCTGCAGAGGATACGTTTATTAGAATAACTGCACCTCAGATTGCAGCCCAAATAAATGCTTCACAGAGTTCAAGTAACAGACACATCTCAACATCAACTGTTCAGATGAGACTCCGTGAATCAGGCCTTCATGGTCGAATTGCTGCAAAGAAACCACTACTAAAGGACACCAATAACAAGAAGAGACTTGCTTGGGCCAAGAAACACGAGCAATGGACATTAGACCGGTGGAAATCTGTCCTTTGGTCTGAAGAGTCCAAATTTGAGATTTTTGGTTCCAACAGCTGTGTCTTTGTGAGACACAGAGTCGGTGAACAGATGAACTTAGCATGTGTGGTTCCACAGTGAAGCATGGAGCAGGAGGTGTGATGGTGTGGGGGTGCTTTGCTGGTGACACTGTCTGTGATTTATTTAGAATTCAAGGCACACTTAACCAGCATGGTTACCACAGCATTTTGCAGCGATACGCCATCCCATCTGGTTTGCGCTTAGTGGGACTATCATTTGTTTTTCAACAGGACAATGACCCAAAACACACCTCCAGGCTGTGTAAGGCTATTTGACCAAGAAGGAGAGTGATGGAGTGCTGCATCAGATGACCTGGCCTCCACAATCACTCGACCTCAACTCAATTGAGATGGTTTGGGATGAGTTGGACCGCAGAGTGAAGGAAAAGCAGCTAACAAGTGCTCAGCATATGTGGGAACTCCTTCAAGACTGTTGGAAAAGCATTCCAGGTGAAGCTGGTTGAGAGAATGCCAAGAGTGTGCAAAGCTGTCATCAAGGCAAAGGGGGGCTACTTTGAAGAATCTTTAATATAAAATATATTTTGTTTAACACTTTTTTGGTTACTACATGATTCAATATGTGTTATTTCATAGTTTTGATGTCTTCACTATTATTCAACAATGTTGAAAATAGTAAAAATAAATAAAAACCCTTCAATGAGTAGGTGTGTCCAAACTTTTGACTGGTACTGTATATATATTTTAAAAATGTGTATATTTTTTTGGGTTCCCACGATTCCCCATAGAAGTTGTTGGCATGCATTTAGATGCACTCACTGTTTTGGTATTGGCCTAATTTTAGCCCTGTCTCTTTTGCAGACATACAGTATTTGCTTTTGATTGAAGATCACAGTTACAATGACACAGTCTTGGTAGCCTGCTTGTTTATACTTGTCCAAGTTCATTTGATTTTCATGGCACTTTAAATGGTCCAGGCTTAAACCAGGCTTAAACTTCTAACTACCGGTAACAGTCAGGAGAAACAGAGTATTATAGGGTTATCTAAGCACTCCAGCAGAGTCCAAATGAAGATGATGCTCAGTATTGCACCTGCCACCTGATGTTACCTTAAGAATACTCCTTTGTATGTAGAGATAGGTCCTTGCTCTAGAGGAATGTCTCCCCTCCCACAACCCCTCCTCCTCACTGGTGTAGGCCTAGTGACGCTGCTTGTGGATTGAGTAATGGGTTGTCTCTGACTCTGTTCCTGAACAGGCAGCTTGTGTAGAGATGGAGAAATCCTCCCACATGCCATCTGCTCCTAGCCAAGCCCTAGCCACACGTGCCAAAGGGGACCCACAGGACATAGAGACCTTGTTGTCCTCACGGAGCTGCCTCCGTCCGCCTCTCGAGCCCTTCACACTGTGCAATCTGGTGCATGGCACTGGTCAGACTGAAACCCTGCTGAAGTCAAATGCATAGGAAGAAAGAGGCCATGCCAAGAGCCAAGCTGAACATACTTTTTCGCTTTTGTTTCCTTTGTGAGGGGACTCAAGTTCTGTTTCAATCAAGATGACGTGGGGGGAATAGCCCAGACCAGTACAAGTGGCTGAGCCATGTTCAAGTTCTATTCTCATTCCTGTGACACTGTTATATGTCTGTTATTGCAGGGGCCTCAGTGGTTGACATCATGGTCATGGTCAGAACTGGTCTTGATCTGTGACTCCAAGCCCCCGTTGCAATGGCTATCCAAATGATTGCTTACAGTAAACCCTTAAGATTCTTTAGCAATAATAGGCAGAGATAATTCATTGGTTTGGTTTCCATCTTACCCTCACCATTCGTGTTTGTCCATTTTAGCATAGAGAACAGTACATATCCATGAATTAGTGCTGTGTCTGCATTCCTGGGCGCCTAGCCTACACGGGTCAGAACTATGTAGAGAGGCTTGAGACGGCCACAGAGACAGAGGCCTCTTCTAGAGTCCTGTGCTGTTTCTAGAAAAGAAAGCATTTAGTTTCCCTGAAGGGTCCTCCGCTGAATGGCTTTGACCTTTGCCCTTTCTGAGGATGTCAGTCAGTCTGAATGATTGTTCTTGCTTGGGTGTACCACAGGAGGCTGGAATGGAGTGAATGGAGTGGTATCCATGACTTTGATGTGTTTGATTCCATTCCATTTATCTCTGTTCCAGCCATTACTATGAGCCCGTCCTCCCCAATTAAGGTGCCACCAGCCACCTGTGAGGTGTACTGTATTAGAGTGGTTGAGTATAGAATAGAATGGGAATAGAAAATGCTGATGAGCTACATATTGGAAGGAGACAATAGTGGGAAGGTGGCCAGAGTGCAAACAAGTGAAGTGTTTCTTTTTGTTTTCGCACAAAAGGAAGTTAATTTGGCCAGAGGGTTAGACACCATAAAATCGCTTTCAACACAGTTCACGAACAGACACAACAGACATTGCTTGATACAAATATGCCTCTGTTTTGCCTATAAAACAGTCCTATATTTCATTCCTTGTAACAGCCTTTATGATGAGATCATTTGCCAGAGTTTTTTCTTGCATATATAATTCATTTGAGACAAACATTGCACTCATACTCTGTTCCCTTGTTTTCAATAGCCAACAATAAGGCCCACATCATTGATGTCATCAAAACTAATACAAATGCAAACCATGTGCAGACTATGGGCTGGCTTGTGTTTCCACTGAGTACACTGAGTATTTCTGTGTAATTATTTTTGGCACTGAAATTGCTCCTTATGAATAAACCCATAAGCAGTGTGTGGGACTGCAATAGAGATAAAGCATTGTTGTTACACAGCTTTGAGGTAAATACAAACAATTCTGTCTGGTTTCCCTCATAAGTTCCCCCTAGATAGGCATCATCAAATGAGTTAGCATACAAGGTTGTGACCACAGACCATGTATCGAGGTTCTATATCTATGGTTGTGACAACCATCATCTTTCTTTCCTTGCAAATTATGTCATGGCCAAACCTCAACAATGTCAGTCATTCCAATTCCAAGCAGTGCTCAATCATTCCACTCAAACCACATTTTATAATCTCATTGTTAAAACTATCCATGATACTTATTCACAAATTTCTTTGAACGAATATGGCGTGTACACAGAGGAGAGAAGAGAGAGAGAGAGAAGAGAGAGAGAGAGAGGAGAGAGAGATAGGAGAGAGCGAGAGAGAGAGAGATAGAGAGAGAGAGAGAGATAGCGAGAGAGAGAGAGGAGAGACGCGCGCGCGACGTACTCTCTCTGCATATATGGCGAATATGACGAGCTATCAGATCGCTCCTCTGCTACTCGCTCTCGCCGCGCTCGAGAGATCTCGAGCGACTCAAGGCCGGAGAGCATCTCTCGGCTCTCTATCGAGAGAGAGATGCAGATCAGAGAAGATGTTGGGTGATAGGGGGCGAAGGGAGCTCATTCATAATTCATGAGATGGGTGGGCAGAGTGCAGAATGGCAATGGCACAGACAGAAACTCTATTACTGAGATGTTAACTCTGCTCTGCCTCTCCAGATTCCTGCTATTTGATTGACCAAGGAAACAAAATTGACTGATTGACCACCAAGGACTTTATCTGTTTACTGCATTAACTGGACATTGGAATTGTGGAGAAACTCAATGCATTGGAGAGTCATGGAGATGATGGGCAAGAGGGAAACCTCTTGTGATTCCACTTGAAGGATTATACTAATGAAAGGTAATGCAGATGTAATGAGTTAATGCGTTCTAATAAGAGGAGGAAAAGTTTTGATAATGGTTGTTGATGAGTTGATCAATGAATCTGATCAATGATCTGTTTTGTTACACTTTGCATCATATATATTTATAAATAACAGGGTAAAATAGTAGTGACATATTTCTTTGGGATTCAAGTAAAGCTTCATAATGTAGTCCTGTGAAGGAGGCTGGTTTTTCATAATGGCTTGAGACTGGAGTTGATTCCTGGGCATGTGTTGCGTTGGTGGATCTATTGTTTGGAAACAGTGACAAAGAGACTCTGTCAGAGAATGTGACAGCGCAGACTGTTGAGTGGGACAGAGATTAAATACTGCTGTTTGGAAACTAAATGGCATTTCATTTTATTTTGTTGTTTTGTGCTAGAAAACATTGTCTTACAAAACAGTTGGTCCCATAAATGTAATGATATTTCATTTCATTTTATTTTATGAAACATTTGAATTGCTTAATCGGTCACTTATAAAACGGTTTCTAGATAAGGGCATCTAGCAGTTCAACAGGATTGGTGGAGGCCATTCACTGTAGAGATGGGGACGCTGGCCAGATTCACTCTATTAATACTGTTATGGCAAGGAATGTCTGCCATCGACGTCCCACTGGAAAGTAAGTCAATACAACCTATTGTGTCCCTGCAAGATGGTGATAACACTTTACAGTGCTGCATATTGTCAAATACAGTATGTAAATTAGTGTACAATCCTAATGCAATCAGGTCTTTCATTTTGACTTGTCAACCTACAGTCAGACAGCCTCCCACCATTATAAAACAGTCGTTGAAGGATCATGTCGTGGACCCCAGAGACAACATGGTCGTTGAGTGTGAAGCCAAAGGCACCCCCCACCCAATGTAAGAACTGACACATCCATAGAACTTTCTTTATATTTCAAAACCATATAAAAATTGTGAGTAGCTGTAGTACAACTCTTTTAATTACTTGAACCAAATGACTTGCCTTTATCCCTAAGTTTCTCATGGAGGCGTAATGGGAAGTATTTCAATGTGGCACGGGACCCTCAGGCCTCGATGAGGAGACGTTCGGGGACGCTGGACATCTATGCCTGGGCTGACCCGGAGGCCTATGAGGGGGAGTACCAGTGTGTTGCCACCAACGAGTATGGCACTGCATACTCAAACAAGATCAACCTACGTATCTATAGTAAGCTGCCACTCCATTCAGGCTTTTGAATCCATTGTCACAGAGTACATTCGAAAAGCTAGGGCCTCAAACCTTGAAAATGCTCAACTTTGGTGGCAGAACCAAGCAAAGCCTAAAGGGACAAATCACTCCAAAATCAAATTTGTCAGCCATTTTCAGACCTCAAAAGTGGTCTTGTGTTGAGATAAGTCCATGTCCCAGCAAGATTCTACTCCCTGTGTTAAATGCCTCTAACCTCGTCCTCTTAACCCTATGTTTCCATGGCAGGGTCCCCTCTGTGGCCCAGAGAGGTGTTGGAACCTGTAACGGTGAGTGTTGGTCTCCCTCTGGTCCTGGACTGCAGCCCTCCTCCAGGCCCTCCCAAACCTGAAACCTACTGGATGAGCAAGTGTGAGTAGGCCTATCTCCTATTCTCAAATCAGAAGTGCATCATGTCTAGGAATGGCATTGATATTCTATAACTAATGACAACCAACGATCTCTCGTTCGGAACTGATTATTTTGTGCATATTTTTGTAATATGGTACTTATCCCAAACATTATCTGTATTTATCCTATCGACTCCAGATGACCTTACCAGGAAATGCATACATAACTTTGTATTTAATTTCAGGTTCATCGGGGAGACCTTTCAACTGGCCTCACCAGCCCCACCCCCCAGTCATGCTGCCTATCAAACAAGACCGTAGAGTGTCCATGGGGGTGAATGGAGATCTCTACTTCTCTAATGTCTACGTCAATGACTCTGCCACCGACTACTGCTGCAACGCACGCTTCCCCTACAAAAACATCATCCAACAGAAGATGCCTATAACCGTAAGAGTCCTTACAAGTGAGTATTGGTATGTGGCACAAGGGATGTTGTATAATTTACTTAACTTACTATGTACTAATTGACCTTCCTTAATAAACTGTTACTTTGGTTTGCCCCACATTGTTTTATTTCAGACTATCCCTAATCTGACTCACCATAGCTCTTCTCTGATCTTACTGACCTAGTGCAGTGGTGAGTGTGTGCTCTGCTTCTTTTGTTGTGTTTAATTTTTACTAAGTATACTGTCAAGAATGAACAACCTCCTTGTCTTAACAACCTGACCCTTCTATAACATTGGTCTGCCTTGACACACAGTCTTCAGGCCCAGGATGAGTTAGGCGCCACTGTTTTCTGTCAAACCACAGTTGTAGTCCATGCTGTCAGGATATTTAAGTGACAAAAGTTCTAAACATAGACTTAGATAGACATCGCGTCATTGTATCTGTCCCATTTTGGTGTCTGTGAGAGCACGGGCAGCGCCATTGAGGCCATCTCCATTTGAAGTGGTCGATTTTCTTGTTCTACTACTTCTATGAGTTGGCAAACAAACTGAAAGGGTGCACATTGCCACCTAGAGTCTGTTATTTGAACAGGTATAAAGCCAAGGTTGGCGATTTACTGCCACCTGCAGTTATGGAATGTTTCCTCACAGGTATAATTCATTGGCTGATCCCTCCAGGTGACCTGGATGGAATTATGTGATCCTTCCTTAAAGATGCAATATGCAGAAATCGCTCCGCCATTTCCTGGTTGCTAAAATTCTAGCACAAGCACTCAGGGTGTAGAGCAGGGTTCTTCAATTCCGGTCCTGGAGGGCCAAAACACTTCTGTTTTTTACTTCTACCTGGTAGTTAATTGCACTCACCTGGTGTCCCAGGTCTGAATTAGCCCCTGATTAGAAGGAGAGGATGAAAAACAGAGGTGTTTCGGCCCTCCAGGACCGGAATTGAAGAACCCTGGTGTAGAGAATCATTGTACCATCTAAACCACTGTGAAATATATTTTCAATAACCAAAAGTATTGTATTTTTAACTGTTTGAAGCTGGCGTACAAAACCGAAAGTAAACTTAACAGGAAGCATAGAAATAAGGCTCATAGAACAGATCTACCGCTTCTTAGACTTGCTTTCAATGAGAATGACAGATCTATAACTCACATTTCTATGTGAATTTGGTCAGGTCACCCAAAACGTTACATATTGCAACTTAAACCCATAGGAAGTCCCACCCAGTTGACTACTTTAAAATGGTGAAAGTCCTCAATGGCGCTTCCCATGCTAAAACAAGCTTTTGTGTACTAGAATCCTCTATCTATCTCTATGGTTCTAACTCTGTGTGGTGTGTTTCCTCCACAGCCCGCATGGTGTCTGAGGCCGCCCCCACCTTTCTGTCTCCAGCCGGGAGGTCCAGCTCCCAGACTGTCCTGCAGGGGGAGGAGCTGCTCCTCGAGTGCATCGCTGCTGGAGTGTAAGTGATCCTCGGTCGTCACTAGTTACCACATGCTAAACCCTGCCTATTTATAAAAAAGGTATTCTTAAAATCAGATTTTTTTCACCTAACCCTAACCTTAAATTAAGACCAAAAAGCTAATTTAGTTTTTCATGAATTTTTACGTTATAGCCATGATCCTCTCAACCACAAACTTTTTTGGACATGCTTTCCCAAGGCAATTCAGTTCAGAATCACTTCTTATTTACAACCATGACTTGACCAAGATGAACAGAAACATGGGACAACACAATAGTTAAAATATAGGAGTACTAGCAGTGCTCGAATTGAGAGGGTAAGCGGGGGTACTGCCGTACCCCATGTTAGAAAAAAGGAATAAACGCGTACCCTTTGTTAGCTGAATAATTTGAAGGGGAAAAAATGGATCCCGATTTTATTAGGCCTATGCAATCTGTAACAACGCTTTTCTCCGCGATGCTTTAGCCTTGGAAAGTAGATCATGCTGCAGACAGCATAGCAAAGAAAATGCATGTTTAGAACTGATAATTGACTGCATGGCGCTAGAAAGAATGCAGTTAATTGATTCTAGAATGTTATCGATGGACACAGCTTTATATAACCAAAACATACACAGCCTGCCTCTGAAAAAAAAAAAAATAGAACTCGAGAACGAATCATTTGGGGGGCTGCTGCAGTTCGCAAACGATATTGTGCGAATCTTATGGAACGCCGTTTGGGTCTTTGCGTGTCAAAAAAGATACACGGCAAATAGCACTTTTTGACTTGTTAAATAAGCTTTTAATTTGACACGTCAAATAACTCAATTCTATTATAGAATGTTGTGTGTGCTGAGTTTGCACGTGCAAGCCAAGCGCCACCACTACTATCAGTAGCCGTCAAAGCTGTACAAAAAAAGTCTGCAAACAAGCACACACCGGCCACGAACGATGTGTTTAAAATAGCCCGTTGGTAATAAGTCATTATTTGTTCGACCGCAACTTCTGGGGTAGCTAGCTAGCTTTAAGCACACACCGGCCACGAACGATGTGTTTAAAATAGCACGTTGGTAATAAGGCATTATTTGTTCGACCGCAACTTCTGGGGTAGCTAGCTAGCTTTAGCTTGGTACCTAGCTAGCACCAATACAACCAGCCTGAAAACAATGACCAGTAGAAACTGCAGTCATTTTCATTATTCTTAGCAATGATTTAGGAATTATTGTGAGTAAGTATTAGCTAGGTAGCCACTTGTTGTTCGCCTATTGAAATTTAACTTTAGTTCATGAAAATAAATAGCTAGCCAACTACGTAACCCTGTTGCCCAAAGCTAACGTCATAAGCAGCCACCTAGCTTCACCTCTTTGAAAGTGATGCAGAAGGTTACAATTGGTGGAATCATGCCATATTTAGACTAGATAATGTTGAACAAGGTTGGAATGTGAAGCAATGAAATAGGGTATCAGTCTACTTGATGACACCCGCAGAACACAACTGTGCAGAGTTTACTCAAATTTTTGCGTTGTAGCTCTTATCGCGGGACTGTGACTGTGTTAAATCACCTTCCCAGTCAGCCTATTGTGTGTATTGACATTCATATTGCACCGTACAGCTTTACCTAAGGATTGGGGATGAATTAAATGGGGTATCAGTCTACTCAATACCCAATAGCTTTTTCCCAACGTCCTCCTCAGAGTTATCAGACACCAAAACATCCAAACACCAAAACATCCAAGCAGTATTGTTTTTCCTCTGAAATAGTGTTCAATACACATAGTAGGTTGACAATAAATGTTGCTTAATTCACAGTTGTTTCAGAATCCCGCAATAAGAGCTACAACGCTAATGTTCTCTGGGTGTCACTGAGTAGACTGATACCCCATGTCATTGATCCACAATCCATAGGTAAGGCTCTACAGTGAAATAAATATGCCCCCAATGCAATTCAGAAGTGTAATACATCCAGTGTGATTTCAACAGATCTTTGTCAAATTAACAAATTATTGTCTTTTGTTGATTTTATATAACAACATTCCAACCTCGTTTAGCATGATCTATTCAATTATGGCATAATTATACTATTTGTATTCATTTGCATCACTGTCAATTACATAATATTTTGAAGGCTAACCGCAAAGTCCACTGTTGTGGCTAATCCTTATTGTGGCTAGCTTCACATAGATGGGTCCGACCACAATGAATCAAATAAGAACTGTTTTATAAATTAGGGTTATTTTAGATGATGACTCCTAGCGAGATAGTTAGCTAGCTAACTATAGCTACTGAAACAGATTGTCGTTTTGATTTTGGGGAAAAACATTGTTTGCATCCATCAGCTAGCTAGCTTTTTTTATGACCAGCACTGTAGGTGCGCGAGACAACTTTACCAGCATCATAGCATACGTATCGAGTGATGGTGTAATCAATGTGTAATAACTACGTAAAAATTTAATGAACGCGTTAAATTATTATGTGACGTGCAGTCATATTCAGGTCCTGATTGTTCAACAAGTTTATTTGACACGTCAAATAGTGTTATTTGACGTGTATCGTTTTTGACATGCAAAGACCCAAACGGCATTCCATAGAATCTCGCCCGTAGCAGTCAAACAATTTAATTCCAACAACAGTAGTTCACAATCTATTCCAGTTATGGCCTCAACCAGACATCGTTTCAAAATTCTAATGTATCAAGAATAATCTTAAATGTACGCCTAGCAATCACAAATGTACATTGTTTGAAGCACACTTTTATAAGTCTCAGTAACAAATGACAGCTCCAATAAGCCCCCTGTGGTGAACGAGAGGCTTGTATCATGATTCTTTCAAGTTTTTCGTTTTTTAGGCCCTGAATTAAACAAACCAACTGTTGATGGTATATTTAACGTACAAAAGTATGTGGACACCCCTTCACATTTGTGGATTCGGCTATTTCAGCCACACCCATTGCTGACAGGTGTATAAAATCTAGCACACGCCTTGCCATAGAATGGCCTTACTGAGAGCTCAGTGACATTCAACGTGGCACCGTCATAGGATGCCACCTTTCCAACAAGTCCGTTTGTCAAATTTCTGTCCTGCTAAAGCTGCCCCAGTCAACTGTAACTGCTGTTATTGTGATTTGTCGGGAGCTTAATGAAATGGGTTTCCATGGCCGAGCAGCAGCACACAAGCCTAAGATCACCAAGCGCAATGCCAAGCGTCGGTTGGAGAGGTGTAAAGCTTGCAGCCATTGGACTCTGGAGCAGTGGAAACGCGTTCTCTGGAGTGATGAATCACGCTTCACCATCTGGCAGTCCGACGGATTAATCTAGGTTTGGCGGATGCCAGGAGTACGCTACCTGCCCCAATGCATAGTGCCAATTGTAAAGTTTGGTGGAAGAGGGATAAAGGTAAGGGGCCGTTTTTCATGGTTTGGGCTAGGCCCCTTAGTTCCAGTGAAGGGAAATCTTAACGCTACAGCATACAATGACGTTCTAGACGATTGTGTGCTTCCAACTTTGTGGCAACAGTTTGGGGAAGGCCCTTTCCTGTTTCAGCATGACAATGCCCCCATGCACAAAGTGTGGTCCATACAGAAATGGTTTGTCGAGATCGGTGTGGAAGAACTTGACTGGTCTGCACAGAGCCCTGACCTCAACCCCATCGAACACCGTTGGGATGAATTGGAACGCCGACTGCGAGCCAGGCCTAATCGCCCAACATCAGTGCCTGACCTCACTCATGCTCTTGTGGCTGAATGGAAGCAAGTCCCTGCAGCAATGTTCCAACATCTAGTGGAAAGCCTTACCAGAAGAGTGGAGGCTGTTATAGCAGCAAAGGGGGGACCAACTCCATATTAATGCCCATGATGTTGGAATGAGAGGTACGACTAGCAGGTGTCCACATACTTTTGGTCATGTAGTGTATCTCAATTAACAATAATTAAAATAGGACCAAATGCAGGCTCCGGTCACATTTCACATACATCTGTTTAATTTATTTGGTCTTTCACAATAGCTAATCAAGTCAGTGGAACAATTTTGATTCCTTATTATGGGCAAAACATATAGGGTAATTAATGTGCTTATTCTCCATACTTCTTCTACTATTCCACTTCCCAGCTACTTGTTTTAAGCTATGTCCTGGACAGTGTTGTAAGTCATTGAATAGAGAAAACGCTAAATTGAAATGCCTCGCGTATCATGTTTTGTACTTTTACTACTTCAAACCAAGTCGTTAAGTTTTGAATGTTCATTCAACGTTCAAAGCATCCTGAATACACCTGACTTGTGATTTTATTTGGTTTTAATTCCATCCCCCCCAACATAGCATGCCCGTGATTAACTTTCAAGAAATCGACCACTGACTACTAGCATGTCAAACCAATTTGTTTATGTCATTTTCCTGGAACTGTTCACTTTTAAATGCCATAAGAACCAGTGCCCTGAAATGGCCTTTGGTTTTCTTACCATATAATAGTCCAACCCCTGTCATCACATGGACCAAAGATGGAGAGGAACTGGACACGACCAACATGAAGGTGAAGAACTACAAGAAGTTACTGCAGATCCCAAAGGCCACGTTTGAGGACGCTGGTGAATACACCTGCACTGCCACAAACAAGATTGGATACCTGGAACACACCATCACTGTCCGGATCAAAGGTCAGCCAATCATCTACATCACATCATCCTGCATCACACCAACACACAGATACAGGGACATGTTCAACATATTTACTCTCACATTGATCTCGATTTGAACTTTACATTTCACTGTTTGATTTCCCTTGGGAGGAAATAGCCCATTCGTTTTATATTCAGTAGTTTGATATAGCCTGGACATGGTTACTTGTCCTTGTATGGGGTTTGATATTCCGGAAATATTTAATATTTATGTAGATTTATGTGATATGATATGTTTGTCTTTTTCTGTTGACCTGATCTCCATGACAGCGGCTCCGTTCTGGTTGGAGAAGCCCAGTAACCTGGTGCTGGCCCCAGAGGAGAATGCACGCTTAGTGTGCCGCTCTGACGGCATCCCCCGGCCCAGTATCCGCTGGTTCATCAACGGAGATACAATCGAGGGTAAGCAAATAACCTAAGCACACTTATAGGTGCAACTCAGATTTTTCAATAATGATATGAATAATATCAGCCATTTTATTACTTAATTTAAAAGGTTATATGGTAAAGTAAGTTGAAACACTAGGAAATAATAGTTTACTTCTCCTTCTCCTATCCTTTCCAGATGCTACTCCAGTCCCAAACAGGGAGGTGTCAGGGGACACAATTACCTTCCGTTCTGTGACTGTGGCAAACACTGGTGTTTACCAGTGCAATGCCTCTAACCAGTACGGCTACCTGTTTGCCAATGCCTACATCAACGTACTGCGTAAGATATTACATTTGTTTGCAGAAAATAACCCTAAACCTCTTTATGCATTGGTATATATGTAAATGCAGAAATTAGGTCACAATTGCAGAATTCTAGTGTGATACAATTTAGTTTTCTGTTCCTCAAGATGCAACACCACGTATGTGGTGTTTGTATTTGAATTCCAGAATATTATGATATTGAATTTGAATGTAATATTATTGAATTTGTAATGCTCAAATTGAATAATTTAATTCATAAATTGAACTTGTATTTCATGATTTGAAACTGAATTGAATGAATATACCAGGGCAAAAATCCCAGTGGCTAGATGTGCCAAGTTTATAGAGACTTAAAAAAAATATATATATTTAACCAGGTAAGCCAGTTGAGAACAAGTTCTCATTTACAACTGCGACCTGGCCAAGATAAAGCAAAGCAGTGCGATAAAAACAACAACACAGAGTTACATATGGGGTAAAACAAAACATCAAGTCAAAAATACAACAGAAAATATATATACAGTGTGTGCAAATGTAGCAAGTTATGGAGGTAAGGCAATAAATAGGCCATAGTGCAAAATAATTACAATGAGTATTAACACTGGAATGATAGATGTGCAAGAGATGATGTGCAAATAGGGATACTGGGGTGCAAATGAGCAAAATAAATAACAATATGGGGATGAGGTAGTTGGGTGGGCTAATTTCAGATGAGCTGTGTACAGGTGCAGTGATCGGTAAGGTGCTCTGACAACTGATGCTTAAAGTTAGTGAGGGAGATAAGTGTCTCCAGCTTCAGAGATCTTTGCAGTTCGTTCCAGTCATTGGCAGCAGAGAACTGGAAGGAATGGCGGCCAAAAGAGGTGTTGGCTTTGGGGATGACCAGTGAGATATACCTGCTGGAGCGCATACTACGGGTGGGTGTTGCTATGGTGACTAATGAGCTAAGATAAGGCGGGGATTTGCCTAGCAGTGATTTATAGATGGCCTGGAGCCAGTCGGTTTGGCGACGAATATGTAGTGAGGACCAGCCAACAAGAGCGTACAGGTCACAGTGGTGGGTAGTATATGTGGCTTTGGTGACAAAACGGTTGGCACTGTGATAGACTACATCCAATTTGCTGAGTAGAGTGTTGGGGGCTTTTTTGTAAATGACATCGCCGAAGTCAAGGATCGGTAGGATAGTCCGTTTTACGAGGGCATGTTTGGCAGCATGAGAGAAGGAGGCTTTGTTGCGAAATAGGAAGCCGATTCTACATTTAACTTTGGATTGGAGATGCTTAATATGAGTCTGGAAGGAGAGTTTACAGTCTAACCAGACACCTAGGTATTTGTAGTTGTCCACATACTCTAGGTCAGACCCGTCGAGAGTAGTAATTCTAGTCGGGTGGGCAGCTGTAATTGTTGCAAAAGGTGGCTCTACAAAGTATTGACTTTGGGGGGGATGAATAGTTATGCACGCTCAAGTTTTCAGTTTCTTTGTCTTATTTCTTGTTTGTTTCACAAAAAAATATATATATTGCATCTTCAAACTGGTAGGCATGTTGTGTAAATCAAATAATACAAACCCCCAAAAAATCTATTTTAATTCCAGGTTGTAAGGCAACAAAATAGGAAAAATGCCAAGGGGGGTGAATACTTTCGCAAGCCACTGTATTCAAGTTTGATTCAATCTATTCTCTTCTAACTTTCCTGGCTGGCAAAGTACCAGGATGTTGTCTCAGGTTTTGAATCTGAATTTAGAGAACTGCATTTGAAAACTGAATCTGAATGCATCTAAGAAGTTGAATATATGAAACTTGAATAAACTTGAAATGACAGTTTGTAAACTGGATACGCAGACAATGAATGCAATATCTACCATATTGAAACTGAATTTATAAATATTGAATTTGAATGTAAATTTATATTGAATTTAAAACAGAATGTAATATTCATTCAATTCAGTTTCAAATCATGAAATAAAAGATCAATTTATACATTTTATGATTTAATTTGTGCATTACAAATTCAAAAATATTATATTTAAATTCAATATCCTAATACAAATTCAAAATTATACCATTTCTGTTGGCACTAAAATCGCTCCATAGCCAGGAATGAAGATAAAAAGCATATGGTAGTTGTCTATTGTCTCATCTTCCTTTCTGTAGATGCAACGCCACGTATCCTCAGGCCCAGGACTGACCTGGTGAAGGTAATTGAGGGCAGCCGCGCCTGGCTAGACTGCCGCTATTTTGGCTCGCCTGTGCCTGATCTGCGCTGGTGAGAACATGTTTATGATGCTCTTCTCTCAGGTGTGTGTGTGTATGCATGTGTGTAACTGACTAACTGTTTTTGCACAGGTCTAAGTTTGGACTGGGCAACCTGGAGGGGAATCGCTTTAAAGTACACAGCAACGGGACACTACAGATCAGAGGCACCCGCATGGATGACCAGGGGACATATCTGTGTATTGTCAGCAACGTAGCAGGACGAGATGAAAACCAGGTCAAACTAGAGGTCAAAGGTGAATGCCCAATAATAGATTTACTGTAACACTTTGCTTCTGCATGTGGTTCAATCTAGAGTTACACTGTTCATGGATCACATTGCAGGTGTTCTCATCATCCGTATCCTCTCTTTTTCAGAGTCAACCAAAATTCTCAAACGTCCAGATAATATGAGAGTCCTCCGGGGGACTGATGTCCGGTTGGAGTGTAAGGCCCAACATGACCCAACGGTTGCCATCACCACCACCTGGCTGAAGAACAAGCAGTTCCTCATCATCGGCTGGAGGTGAGCCTGAATATGACTAGTTGTCCTAACCATTGTAACCATGGGGTTTCTGTTGCCACCCTAACTTCCAAGTTATAGTCTATATCTGAGTATAACTAAAGGCTAAACGGTGAATAGTTCAACTGAATTTGTCAAGATGACTTCGTAATAATAACAGTATTGTGTCCTTTTAATTATCTCCAGGCTGTCGCTGGATGAATCAACTCTGGTCATCACAAACGTCAACAGAGGAGACGAGGGCAATTACACCTGCATCATCAAGACTGAGATGGACAAAAACACTGCCTCCGCCCGCCTGGTGGTGATGGGTAGGACTATAACTTGACACTTAGTTAACATACATAGCTACATACACTGTGTTTCAGCAATTGCATTACATGTTATGTAATGTTAATTGCATTGTATTATGTAAGAGTAGCAGATAGAGAGTTCATAAGCATGCTATATGTTTTTGGAATTTCCATCAAAAGTTTCCTTCCCTTCATCCCAGATCGTCCAGACCCCCCTACAAACTTGCAGTTGTCGGACCCCTTCGAGCGCAGCGTCAGGCTTACCTGGACCCCTGGAGATAGCAATCACAGTCCTATCAAAGGTAACAGCTCTACCTTACAGTCTACACCTCAGGAGCAGGACATCCAGAGGAAACATAGGCCACATATACACCATAGTTTCTTTGAAATGGTCAGAGTTAGCTAACATCAACTGAAGTAATCAGTGTGTTCTTCTGGACTTTTCCTCCAGAATACCTGGTGCAGTATGATGATGACGACTGGTTACCTTTCAAGTGGAGAAACCTTTCTACGTACCCTGGAAACCTCAACTCTGTCATTCTGCAACTGTCACCATTCATTATCTATGAGTTTAGGGTCATTGCTATCAATGACATTGGTATGAGTAAACCCAGTCGCTCGTCAGCCAACTTCCAGACTGGTGGAGCACGTGAGTATTTCATGCTTGATGGGTTTGATAATGTGATATGAATAATGGATTTCTCGTTGGCTTCATTAATTGTATTGAACAGGAATACAGCTGACAACACTGATCTTTCATATTCAAACAATTGGACAATGAGCTTTCTAACTTGCTATGATTCTCAGCTCCAGACGCCATCCCTAAAAACATCCAAGGAGTGGGAACATGGAGAAACAACATGATGATCAGCTGGGAGGTGATACAGTCAAAGCTTTTTCAAAAGCTAGTGCTCCATTCATTCATTTGTAACTCAATATTTATTCAATGATGAATAACAACTTTTATTCTGTACAATTAAACTTCCGTGTCTGGTATGCGGAAAAGGCACTAAACAACAGAGAGTGGAACGGGCCCCACTTAAAGTATTTGGTGTGGTGGAAACGGAGGGATTCCAGGGAGGAGTGGAAAAATGCTACCACTTGGTGGTGTAAATACTACATCTATGACACAGACACCTTCACACCCTATGAGATAAAGGTCCAGGCTGTCAATGACTTTGGGCTGGGCCCAGAGTCCCCTGTCATCATAGGCTACTCTGGAGAAGACCGTGAGTATGACCACCCATCCCTTCCTGCAGATACAGATACTATTTTTTTATACACATTTACAGGTAGCTATAGACCTAGATCGACCCATGCCCATGCCATGAATTAATGGCTGTTTATTGTTTACACATAAAAACGGATCTTTGTGATGTCTATCCCTAGTTGACACTTGGCAGTTAGCCATACCATAGTGAATTACAACTTCCTGTGGGTGTCTCCCAGGTCCCACTGCTGCCCCCCTCAACCTGCGTGTGTCCAGGATAGAGGCCACTAAGGTCACCGTGCACTGGGACCCCGTGGCTCGCAGCAGCATCATGGGAGAACTGAAGGAATACAAGGTCAGACTACTGGGAATAGGTGGCTTGTTTAGTTTCTGGTTTTCAATTCCAAGTGTGACAATCTGTTATGACAAGGAGAGATCCAGGCTATATTGTTATTCATTAGGAGAGAAGTGGAGGAAGAGCCCTTCACACACTGGCTGCATGAATGAATGGAATAATTAATGAATGACTGAACGAGGGAATAAACGACGGAACAAAAGAGGGAACAAACAAAACAATTAATGCATGTGCTGTGTCCCCCCTATCCCAGGTATACTTCTGGCGAGATAGTAGCCAGCTGAGGTGGCTGAGTGTGAGCAGGGCCATGAAGTCTAAAGCCTTTCCAGCCAGTGGGCCGCGTCTCTCTGGTGTGCTGCCGGGACTCATCCCTTACAGCAACTACAAGATGTACATAGTGGTGGCCAACAACCGATACGAGGGACATCCCAGTAACACCATAGAGTTTTCCACTCCAGAGGGAAGTAAGGAAAAGCATTGTGATGCTGTATTAGATGTGGCAGACACTTTTTCTGTCAGGGTTCTTTTCCTAATCATGTATTTCCCAGTGTTTATTCTCAGACTTGACCTCTGACCTTTGATCTATGTCTGTAGCACCCTCTGCTCCAAGATCCTTCCGAATCCAGCAGAGACATTTGGACACGATCTGGGTGGACTGGGACACTCCTGCAGAGCCCAATGGCATCGTCACCGGATACATACTCAAATATCAGACAGGTAGGAAGACTTACTCATTAGCCAGGTGAGCAAATAAGGTACAGTATCTACAGTAAGTACAGTACAGTAGGTGCATGTCTCTTAACCATAAGTTCTCATGGCTCACTGCTGTGCACTCTCTCTACAGTGAACGCAACTCAGGGGGAGGAATTGCGTGTTGAGGAATTTCCCCCAAACACCACCAGTTTTGCTGTGCGCCGATATGATCGCTACACCCGCTATAGGTTTACCATAGCAGCACAGACTAGAATCGGGTTAGGAGAGTGGTACACAGAGGAATCACCCCATTATACAACTGAAGGTATAAGACTGCAGGTCAACCACAACACACAATTACAAGCCATTAAACAGCCACACATCTGCAGATTTGATCATGACAATTAATCATGTGTGGTTGTTTACATACAGCTAATGCTCGGGAGCAGGTGGACCTCTCCACTCAGGGCTGGGTCATTGGTGTGATGTGTGCTGTGGCCCTCTTCGTGCTCATCCTGCTGGTCGTCTGCTTTATCAAGAGGAGCCGAGGGGGCAAATACCCAGGTACTGTAGCAATACTCTAGTCCAAAAGATTAACATTATAACATTCTTAGATGGAGAGACAGACCCAACAGATCTAAAACTCAGTGGTGTGTCCAGAGGATGCCCTGAAATCTGATTGGCCACCCCAGTGGCCCCCTCAGAAATTCTGAGATCTGATAGGTTGTTTCTGAATATATTTATAATTATAACAAGACGCGCACCGACAGCAAGATTAAGCAATCTCACCGGAGAAAGCATCCGAGCAAAACAGCGCCACTCTGTCTTAGTATGTGTAGCCCATGTATCTGATGCTGTCTGTACAAAAAGAGTACAACTGAATGCATTCCACCGAAATGTGTCTTCTGCATTTAACCCAACCCCTCTGAATCAGAGAGGTCCCTTAATCAACATCACCCGCGCCCCTGTAGAGCAGTTGTTGTTGGTGGTTAACTGCCCGCATTGCGCAAGGGCAGAACGGCTCGGGGATTCAAACCAGCGACCTTTCATTTTCCGGCACAACGCTCTTAACCGCTAGGCTGGGCTACAGATACTAAGACAGAGGGGTGCTTTTTGCCTCACTCGGATGCTTTCTCTGGTGAAATACAGTAGATTCAGCCTCTTGCGAGTTGAAGGAAAAGTATGAAACACGGATCGACATGAATGAGAAATCATTATACGTTTGTTTCTTTTTTTATTGTTACATTTTTTGAGGAAGCCTGGCCTACTTTTTGAAGTGATTTGTTTGACAATCAGATGAAAACATCATGACTGGTTGTGTTCGTGACACATTAAAAGGTATTCACTTTTTACAGTTAAATTACATGTCTTTACTATAAAGCAGGGGTCCCCAATTACATTCAGCCAAGGTTATAAATAATTTGTACACTGCAAATTGACCACAAGAATCCCAAACAGATATAGTATTTGACAAAAACTAAATAATTTCAAACCTTGATTACATTGGGATACAATCACATATGCTTCTCTATTTATGCGTGGGAATACTTGGGAACAGATTTCCTAAATTAAAATCACCTTGAGCTGATTTCCTTGTGATTTTACAGTCTTTTATGTCCAACAATTAAAACTATATATAACAAAAATATATGCAGTATATACTTTTTTTTTTTTTTTGCTCTGAAAACTTGGGGGGCCAAATAAAATAACCCTGCGGGCCGCCTATAGGAGGTCCCATTCAAAAAATAGAGACCCCCTGAATGTCACGGTATAATTCATACTCTGGATGGCACTTTCAAGTTAATTTACTGCTGTATGCTAATACCCTTATATACAAGCCTGACCTTGAATGCAAACACTGTAACAACACTTTTGGAATTGATTTATGAAGCTGAAGCATTTAATGCATTGAACCATCATAATTATATTTTAAAAATTCACCATGCATCAATTAAGGTTCAAAATGTTATGGCCCCTCTTAACTGGGTCTTTGCCCCACCTTGGCCACCCCGTTCAAAATGTTCTGAACACGCCACTGCTAGTGCTATAGTTAAATCACTAGCATAAAGCTTCTGATCCCACAATTGCACTTCATGATCTAATGGATAGGATACATTTACCCTAAGAATGCAGTGCTTATATTATATTTGGTCAAAGTAACAAGACAGAGATTTTTATTTTCAGTACGGGACAAGAAAGAAGTGACATTGGAGCCAGTGGATGACAAAGATCAGGAGGGATCATTTGACTATCGGTAAGCGATATAACAGAACTGTGAAAATCAATTGAGAAAACCTTGACTTGAGATAAGTATCAGTGGTACCAATGCAAGATTTGTGTATGTCAAAGTCAACCACGTACATCATGTATAATAATTTTGTGAAGTAGTCCTTATCATGTCAGTTTCCCTTTAAGACAGCTATGGTATCTAAATCCTTCCAAATGAACAGTGATCTACAGTCATATAAACATGTATTCATACTGTATTATGTCATGGTAATAATATTCAACATTGAAAAAATTCATTTAATTCCCTAACAATATTGTACCATTCGGTGTTATCATTATTTCAGAATAATGTATTTTTCCTGGTAACTCCCCAATCCTCAGAATTGATCTCTCTATTCTGACTACTAATGTTTTCAAAATGTCATCCTTGTTCTTTTCGCCTTTGGACTGCTGAAGGTCTCTGGAAAGGTATGATAAGACAAACACTGACAAGTTTACACCATGTACACTATATTATTTACACCATTTTTACTATATTATTTTGTATTATTTTACTTATATATTGACTGTATTTTATATTTATAACCAATAATCGGAAATCTGAACAAAAGAAACAACATAAAAAAGGTCTGTCTGCAATTCAAAGTATTATCGTTGTTGAAACAAATGAATGGTTTAAGTGATTTGATTGAATGATCAACCATTTGAGGACATTTTATAGCAATGTTCTTCAACACTGTAGCTCTCAATACAATTACTAAACAATCTATTTTAATGTTTCAGGATAAGTCGTGTCACCACCATTCCGTACTCTGCCCGACGGTAAGTATTATAACCAGTTAGTCTAGAACTGTATGGAGAAAGCTGTTAAGCCATAACCACAGCTGCTGAAGCATATCCTCTGATATTGTCCTTTTTCTTCAAGGGAGGAAGAGACTAAAGTTGGCAGGGGCCAGACGACAGTAGACACCATGATGAAACGGACGGATAGTGACGACAGTCTGGTGGACTATGGTGATGGACGGGAGATTGAGTTCAACGAGGACGGCTCCTTCATTGGCCAATACACTGGACACAAGGAGAGGGATGACAGAGACACAGAGTTCAGTGATAGCAGGAGCCAGGAAGCACACTCCCCGATGGCCCACTCCCCCATGAGCCCCATCTACTCATTTGCATAAGGAAACAAGACGTACAATGGGTGTTACACTCAACTAGCACCTGTATAAACAGTTGTATACGCGACTCAGACTGGGTCCGGAATGCCCACTGCCCATTAACTGGGGACACAGGTGTTTCCAAGCAAATCCACCATCTTCTTCAATCCAGGCACACAAGATGATGTGGTTGGAGCCTGGTAGTGTTCCTTTATTCTCATGCTCTGCATTGACACTGGGTTGGTGCTGTAAATGCAATACAGCAGCAATTTAACAAAAAGATGAAGGTTACAGTTACAGTCTGGTTACGTTTATGAAGTTGTGAGAAGTACATGCTTTTCAAGTGTATTTTGTGGGTGTGGAAGTGCGTGCGTACATACATGTGGAAGTGCGTGCGTACATGCATGTTGATGTGGGTGTGGAATATTTCTACTAATGGAGAGATATTGACTGCACATTAGGCAGAGGGATACATTGATACGTTTATCATGTTGATAAAAGCAGTGACACCTGGTAGAGGAACTATTTATATGATAATTATCATTTATATGATGATTTATATGACAGTGGGAGAAAAATCTTAATTAACTATTCACTGCCAAGTCACTGGTTTCGGCCTGGCAGGATTGCTAAGTGTCTTTTTAACTTTATCTCTACCTGATGGCAGGAAATATGATACCACCTTTAGGGCTCTGTGCCCTTGACTTGTTTGTATGTTGCTTTGTCTAAACATTGATCTGTGAATCTTGGCTGATGTTGTAATTGGTATGTTGACACATTGTCATTGTGTACATACCTTTCAGGACTGTGGGCTGCTTCAACATCTTTCAAAGATAGGCAGATGTCATCTGTAGCCTTAAATGTCTGGACAGCAAATTGTCTACTTTTGGGTGTGAGCAGGAAGCGTAAACACAGACGTAAACATATCCCTAATCAATGTCTCTGGGACCATACTGTACCTTGTTTCCCCCTGCGCACTTTCATTTGTATGAGGAGTTTGTGTAATTGTAATGTATTTAGAAGTTGTAAATGCTATGATATGATTTAATCATTTATTTATTTTCTTTCTGCTAATCATTAATGTTCCTTGTGATTTTGACAATATTAACTGATAAATGTACCTTATACTCACGGTCCTCTAATGAATACACAAATAGATTAAAACACTGTTCTAATTACATGAAATGCTCAAGGTCAGCTGCATATTTCCATCATAAATAATAGTGTTGAAAGTACAATATGGAGGAGCAGCAGTACAGTTTAATCATGTTCTCAAATGATATGGTGCACACGGCATACTGTAATTAACCTTCCAGTCAGGGACTGGTTTTTTTAACTGTACATTATGTCTCTCCCCTTAATATCCCGGCAGGTAGCTTAGTGGTTAAGAGCGTTGTGCCAGTAACTGAAAGGTCGCTGGTTCTAATCCCCGAGCCGACTATGTGAAAAATCTGTCGATGTGCCCTTGAGCAAGGCACTTAACCCTAATTGCTCCTGTAAGTCGCTCTGGATAAGAGCGTCTGCTAAATGTATCCCGGCACTTGTACAGTGCCTTCAGAAAGTATTCACACCCCTTGACTTTTTCCACATTTTGTTGTTACAGCCTGAATGTTTAAATGGATTAAACTGAGATGTTGTGTCACTGGCCTACACACCCCATAATGTCAGTGGAAATGTTTTTCAACAAATTAATTAAAAATGAAAAGTTGAAATGTCTTGAGTCAATAAGTATTCAACCCCATTGTTATGGCAAGCCTAAATAAATTCATGAGTAAAAATGTGCTTAACAAGTCACATAAGAAGATGCATGGACTCTGTGTGCATTAATAGTGTTTAACATGATTTGTTAATGACTACCAAATCTCTGTATGCAACACATACAATTATCTGTAAGGTCCCTCAATCGAGCAGTGAATATCAAAAACAGATTCAACCACAAAGACCAGGGAGGTTTTCCAATGCCTCGCAAAGAAAGGCACCTATTGGTAGATGGGTAAAAAATGTAAAGGCAGACATTGAATATCCCTTTGAGCATGGTGAAGTTATAAATTACACTTTGGATGGTGTATCAATACACCCAGTCACTATAAAGATACAGGTGTCCTTCCTAACTCAGTTGCCGGAGAGGAAGGAAACCGCTCAGGGATTTCACCATCAGGTCAATTGTGACTTTAAAACAGTTACAGAGTTTAATGGCTGTGATAGGAGACAACTGAGGATGGATCAACAACATTGTAGTTACTCCACAATCCTAACTAAAATGAAAGTGAAAAGAAGGAAGTATCTTCCAAAACATGCATCCTGTTTGCAATAATGCACTAAAGTAAAACTGGAAACAATGTGGCAAATAAATGAACTTTATGTCCTGAATACAAATTGTTATGTTTTGGGCAAATCCAACACAACACATCAGTGAGTACTACTCTTCATATTTTCAAGCATAATGGTGGCTTCATCATGTTATGGGTATGCTTGTCTTCGGCAAGGACTAGGGAGTTTTTTAGGATAAAAATAAATGGAATAGACCTAAGCACAGATCAAATCCTAGAGGAAAACCTGGTTCAGTCTGCTTTCCAACAGACACTGGGAGACATTCACTTTTCTGTAGGACAATAATCTAAAACACAAGGCTAAATATACACTGGAGTTGCTTACCAAGACGACATTGAATGTTAGGCCTAGTTAGGCCTACAGTTTTGTATTATTGAATGTTAAACCAAGGACAAACCTTCCCAGTTTCAACAAAAGAAGCAAAGGAAATCTTAACACCAATACTGGCATTTTTATGACAAGTTTATCTTGTCATGTCTCTTACTCAAAGGCCTGGATCTTGCATAATGTTTGTTCTACTATGATGACCTGCCCACCAGCCTTCGCTTTGGCTCCCCCTCCTGTCCAGCTCAGGTGTTCGGCGTTGCCAGCCTTCTAGCTGCTGCCAAACCTGCTGCTGGCAAACGCCCTTCACTCATCAACCCCGGACTTGTCTCGTCATCTTTACACACACCTGGTTCCAATCCCCACTCTATCACTGTATATATACTTCCTCTGTCATTTGTCTTTGTCGGTCATTGTATATGTTACTTGTTTTCCTGAGAAGAATCTCTCCTACTATTTCCTGAGTACTTTATATTTTTAAACCTGCGACTGCCTCCTGCCTACTCCTCTCTACACTTGGGACAGAATGACCGACACAAGAAAACAGGAGGCAGCAGGACATCCCGACTCCTCCGACTTGTGCCTGGAGCACCTCGGGACTGCCATGGACGAGGTGATCCAGACTGTACGCCAACTGCAGGCTACACCTCCACCTCCACCTTCCCAGCTCCTTACGGTCGTTCCAGCCACCCCACCACCATCTACATCACCCGGTCCGATCAGCAACGTCCACCTGCGGTTTGACGGCTCACTGTAGGGGATTTCTCCTGCAGTGTGACCTCCACCTTGCACTTCATGCCGGGATGGCCTCCGAGAGGGACAAGGTGGCCTTGGTGATTATAGTGCTGACACGCCGGGCTCTGGAGTGGGCGCACGCCGTCTGGGAGCGGGACGGTCCAGAAGCACAGTCCTATGAGGGCTTCACCCACCCAACAGAGGGCAGAGAGAGAGGTGAGCGTCTCCTCCGTCTGCGCCAGGGGTCCAGGACAGCATCTGAGTACGCTCTGGATTTCCAGGCGGTGGCTGCGTCCACTGGCTGGAACGACCAGTCCCTGTTGACGGTTTTCCGCAGCGGGCTACAGGCGGACGTCCAGACTGAACTGGCCTGTCGCGATGAAGAGCTCACGCTGGACCAGCTCATCGCCATGGCCATCTGTCTGGATAATCTCCTGCATACCCGTCGTCTCCCATCCCAGGGGTTCTGGTCTCTCCCATGAACCTCCAGCGAGACTGAGCACATGGGGGTGGGCACGACGCACCTTCCCCCAGAGGAACATCAATGCCACCGTCAACAGGGTCTCTTCTCCTACTGCGGGGAGTCAGACCACCCCTGGAACACCTGTACCAGTAGGAGAACCAGGTGAAGAAGTGACAGGCCGAGGAGTGTTCCTGCACCTTCCCAGGAAGGCGTGGATGTGCCTTGCTCCTCTCTGTCCACACAGACACATTCCTGCGCATTGCGCATTCCTCTAGTCCCTTTACAACCCCCAATTCCAGTCCATGCCCTAGACAACCGTCCCCTTGGAACAGGACTGGTGAGCCAGGCCACGATTCCCAATTCCCTCACAGTTTATCACAACCACCATGAACGCATCACGTTCCTCATCTTAGACTCTCCTGCACACCCCATAGTTTTAGGTCTCCCCTGGTTACAGTTGCATAACCCCAGTATATCGTGGAAAGAGAGGAAGTTGTTGGGTTGGTCGCAGGAGTGTCAGGGGAGGTGTCTCTCTGTGTCTATCTGTGCCACATCCGTGGAAAGTCCGGACCAGGCCACCCACGTCCCTATCCCAGAGGAATACCGGGACCTACAGGTGGCTTTTTCGAAGACTTGTGCCCCATGCCTGCACCTTCATCGCCCATGGGACTGCACTATCGACCTACTGCCTGGTTCTACCCTCCCGCGGGGGCACATCTACATAGTGGTGGCCCTGCTCGGGGAACCCGGGTATAGCCTGTACTATCGACTGTCTCTCCACCAAGTACTGGTGGCCCACCTTGGCCCGGGACGTCCGGGTTTACGTCCCACCTGCTCCACCTGCGCACAGAGCAAGACACCGAGACACCTCCCCTATGGCAAACTCCACCCGCTGCCGGTTCTACAATGACCCTGGTCCTATCTCTCTGTGGACTTTGTCACAGACCTTCCCCCCTCGGAGGGGCACACCACCGTCCTGGTCGTTGTGGACCGGTTTTCCAAAGCCTTTCGTTTGATTCCTCTGCCTGGTCTCCCTACGGCCATGAAGGCCGTGGAGGATCTCTTCTCTCACGTCTTCCGGCACTACGGGATCCCGGAGGACATTGTGTCTGACCGTGGTCCTCAGTTCACCTCCCGTGTCTGGAAGGCTTTCATGGAACGACTGGGGATC